AATATATTTTTTGATATATAAAATAATAACATATCCTTTTTTCCTCCTCCTCCTTTCTCAGAACATCTGTATTATGAAAAAAATCCAATCCCCTAGTGAACTTTCTGAACCACATGCTTACTTCAATGATATTATGTTTTTTTTCAGGACTTTTCCTATCCATAGGGAGAATTGACAAGAATACTACTGTACCCCAGATCCCTTCACTTTCCTCCCCCAGACTAATTTTGAAAGAATCATTAGTGCCCGCATGAAGAGCAGGAAAGGGTAAAGGGATGGATGAGCTCTAGTATTCTTTTCATTCTAAATTGAGTTTTACCCCTCACAAGATTCAGGGGGAAGGGGGCAGAAAGAAAAATAAAAGATTTAATTTATCCTATAATGGAGGCATAGTGTCTCTTGAAGGTAAAAGCACTAAAGAACTTACATAAGATTTGGGTAAGTTTTTAAACATCGCAGTTAAATGCCAGATTAATTAAAATGTGTAAATGAATATTCTTTAATATTTTTTAAAGACTACATTCATCAAAATAGGAACCATTAATGTTGAACACTGTCTAAAATTGCTGTGATTCAGCATATGTTTGCATTTATTATAAGCACTTTATACCACTGAAATCATAATTATGCAAGAATAACAGAATCATAGCAAGTTAGGGTTGGAAGGCTTTGTCTACTTGGGTCTTAAAAACCTCATGTAAACCCTTTAAAAACCATCTAATATCTGCCCAAAAAGGAAATAAAGCTCACCAAGATGTAACTTATATTTATATGGTGTAATTAGCATTCTACAGAAGTGTGGATTCTGACAGGGTCCTCAGGGCTATAGTATAATGAAAACAATGTCGTATATAATAAATATACTTTGCATGAGCTTCTAATACTATATCCATTATAAATTAAAACAAGAATGGCTTATATCAAAACAAATTTTATTTGAAACTATAGATCAAATACTATATAATTAAATACTCATTATAATATAGTATATTAACAGATAATATAATTCAAGTATTTAGAATGCTAAAATGGCACAGAAGAACTCAGTTCAGTTTTCATTGAATCAAAAGAAATTATCATTGACTTCAGCGGAAGTTGAATAAGACCCCAATGTGTAGTAATACAATTACAGGAAAAGAATTAAGGTCTGGGTGTTAGTCACTGAGAGCTGTTTCTGGTCATGTTCTGTATGTGAATGAGTTGTACATTTCTGAATGGTGTCCTGATTATTTGTGTGATTTCCATTGTTTCATTGTTTTGGGGTATGTAGAGAGGTTAAATATATAAGATTATATTCTTTTTATTTACACTAAAAAAGTTAAGTATTTAAGTATGACCCTGCAAATAATTTTCTTTTTTTGCTTTGGATATTTTTACATTACTAAAACAGTGGATTGATATATATTACAACCACCTTTGAAATGTGAGGTATTATACTGAATAAGCAGCTAAAAGCACTGGTACCTAAATTGGAATGGGCTACTTGCCTGATTGGTTATATGTTCTCCTTAAGAAAACACCCCACTCATTATAAGTTTTGCAAAAAAGAAAAAAGAAAAGAAAAAAAAGAAAAGAAAAATACTGTCTTCATTTGTAATGGTTTCCTATATAAAATTCTAGGTTTATAGATTAATGAAGAAAAATAATTGATCCCTATACAAGTTTTGTCTAAACATAAGCAGACAATTGTGAAACATTCTTGTTCAAGAAATGCTTTTATTTTCAGAACTGTGATACTAATTATACTGAAAAGTATTTAGTTAGTGAATACTATGTTTAGTTCTGGTTGCAAGTAATCATCTTACCTCCTGTAAAAAAAACAAAAACAAAAACAAAAATCTAATAATAAAATTAGAAACTAGAAGTTCCAAATCTAGCTAGATTTGGCAAAGATGTGGGGATCAGATGTTCAAGAACTCATGTTTCTTTACTGTCTGCAGACACTGGTAACATTTTGTGAGTGAAATTACTATTACTTGTTTATCTACATACTGGAAGATGCAACCAGTTACTAGGAGACTTGATTGTACTTGTACCTGCATTATGGATACACAATATTTGGTCTTTAGAGATTGCCTCTGCAAAACAATAAAATATAAAAATATGAAAATGGAAATTGGGTTTAAGACGGTTTTTGGTCCTGTGTCAATCTATATCACTTTTGCTGTTTTTAAAATGGGATTATTACCAAAGCTTATTATACACCTTACAGGAGTTCAACAACAAAAGTATTGAATGATATGACTTGGGAGTTCTTCATTTTTTGTTTTGTCCTGTATGCTTGTTTACTCCCCCAAAGTCATTTTCACAAAGCCTGGCTCAAAAACACAACTCAAAATAATACCCTCAGACCATCATAACTATGTCCACAAGACCAGTAATCTTTCCAAGCACACCAAACAAAGCTGTCATCTACAGCTAGGCCCTCAGATAGCACCACCTCTGCTCACAGGATAACACTCATGATGCCCACCTGACCAGCCTAAAATCTGCTTTTATACAAAAAGGACACTCGATAAAACATTAGAGAAATAGACCATACATTTGAAAGATCAATTCAAATAGTCTGCAGTAAACTGGTAAATACAAAAAGAAAAACCCTGTGACTGCATGCCCTTGGTAGTCAGTAACTGGACTGGACAGTAACCCTACACTGGAACTTATCAGAAGAATCATCAAACAAATACAGTATATCCTAGGTGCTGCCTTGTATTTTTTTGGGGGTGGTAGTGGTAAGATGCTGCCCGTCCCCCAGTGGCATGGCCAGAGCAAAGCTGAGAGGAGCTCAAGGCGGTGGGGGGGAGGGGGCGTGCCCACTGTAGGCTCAGGGCTTTCCACCCTGCTGCCCTTTCCCAGGAGCTCTGCACCACCATAATGAGATGCCCCCTGCCCACTCGGCAAAAGTAAGGAGCAGAACTCTGTGACACTGCTGCTGCTGCTGCCAGCTAGTCAGGGGGCAACTTGACATAGCAGCATAGCCGGTGTGGGGCTTCCATGGGGGAACAGCAGGATGAGAAGCCCCAAGCCCACAGCAAGCAGCCCACATCTACCCCATGTACAAATCTGGTGCCCCCCCATGCCCCCTCCCTCAGAGTGTGTGCAGCAGTGCCTGCTGTTGAACCCCCAAAACCCCTGGACAAACCACCCATGGCATTGTCCTACTCCATGCCCTGGTCCAAGGCTCCATTCACCACCCTGGTTGGCCAGCACACTACTCCTTCCCTCACCATGGAGGCCTCAGTCTGCCCTCCCACTGCACGCCCCCCATAGACTTACCTGGAGGCAGCTGGGGGAGCTGCTCTCCACTTCTGCCTGAGGCTGTATTCCTGGCCCCATGCATATGTTCATGAAAAACCATCAGAATTCATAGTTTCCACACATGCTTTCCCCAAAATCTGAATTACTTGATCCAATGCACCAAGCATCCCTACAACGCCCTGGCCCTGCTGGTGCCTCTCACCCCATAACAACAGCCCCCTGCTACCCCTGCCCTGCCAGAGGGGCCTAACAGTTTCTAGGGCTACAGGGACAGGGACCCAGGTCCACAGCTCCTTGTCAAGAGGCGGTGGCTATTGCAGAGGAGCAGAGCCCAGCTCCCCACTCTCAACCCCCGCTGTCTGCTGTGGGCTTGAGGGGGTGGCTCCCCACCATAGTGCACACTCCCAAGGGGACAGGGGACACCCGTGCCACCCAGATCTGTGTGTGGAGTGAGGATGGGCTACCCACTGCCAGCTCAGGCTCCCACCCTGCTGCCCTCCCCAGGGCAGTCCAGCAGATGTAACCCAGTGCTGCAGGGCAGAATGGAACCACACAAGGAAACCCATTGCCACTGTGACCTCCATGCTGCCCTGGCAAGACATCCCTTGTGCATGAAGGAGCAGTGAGGGGTACAACACCACGCCACCACCTCCACTGAAGAGAGCACCTTGCCAGGCCAGCGCAGAGCTTGCAGTGGCAGTGAGTTTTCTTACACAGCCCTGTTGCGCCCTGCAATGCTGGGTTGCATCTGCTGGGCTGCAGAGGCTCCAGGGAGGGCAGCAGGGTGGGAGAATGAAGCCGCAGGAGTCAGCCTGCCCCAACCCTGTGCACAGATCTTGGGTGCACTGGTCCTCCCTGCCCTCCCGGAGTGCGTGCAGGGACAGGGAGCTGTCCCCACTTCTTCCCACCCCCCAGATGAGTTGCCCATAGTCCCATCCTGTTCTCTGCCAGAGCCCAGCAGCTGCAAATTGTGGTTCCAGGACCAAAGCCCCACATACTGCCCAGCTGGGCAGCAGCCCCAACCCTACCCAACTCTCTCCCTACCTATGGGGGCCACAATCCCTGCCTCCCCACTTAACTGCAGGAGCTGCTTTCCAGGCTGCCTGGCAGCTAAGTACATATAGAAGAATATGGTGCCCCCTGCCTGACTGCCCTCCTCCCACTCCCTCCCAGCCCCTTGAGGCCAGAATTCAGCCAGCCTGCAGAGAGCTGCTTGCAAAACTGCAAAATCTGTGGGTTTCTCTAGTAAAATGAGTAATCTGTGTTTGCCTCTGGTAAAAGGTAAAATCCATGGTTTTCTCCATTGTACTGTGGGAAATGGAAAACCCAGATCCTTCGTGATCATAGACTTTATAAAGCCTGTCTTGCATTCAAAGCTTGTCTAAGTGTATCGAAACTACCTAGTTAGTCTAATATAAGATGTCATCCTAAGAAATCCTTAAGATCATGACACTTTCCTTGTTTAAGGTAAGTTTGCAAAAATATTTCACAGGTTACCAAGGCAATAATTCAGAACACTGCTGTTCAGTTTTGTGCATTTTCTGTTTTCATTTCAGAGGCCTCAAGGAGAATTACTTTAAAAATTCAGATGGACTTCTATGTAAATACTTAATAACAGTTTAATTTTTTAAATCTCAGAGCTAGTAAGGATAGGGAATGTTAAAAATAGGATAGCTGGCTGGAACTATGACTTGTTTTCTTCTTATCATAGTTTCACAGTTTCATAGTTTCTAGGGTCAGAAGGGACCTTAGCAG